AAGACACAGACTTGCTTCTCAAATTACACACTTAGCAATTTGGTCATCCTGGAGAGTTGTTTGTTGATACTTGGTTGTGCAATGATAAGTTATTGTGACCTATTGTCATGAAAGTCAATGACAGCAACTTGATAATACCATGCAAAAATTGTTTGAATTCCATTTCTTTTTAATTACATCTACTCTCTCTTAAGTAGACTTCAATCAATAGTCCTATTTACTCATCATTCAATAATCCAAACATAAAACCCTTGTAATGCTATATTTTTCTATTACATCACTCATGATCATATAATGTTTCAGTTAGATTCCACTGATGTATCGTGAGGAGATGATCATTTGACAATACAATGCCAAATTCTAAATGCTTGGCATTGTTATGAAGAACTTATTTGGAGAACCGGATCATGCCATGATAGAAGATAATGACAGCTTGAAAGTGCCTTTTTACGATGACCACATGATTTCCAACTAAAGATAAATCATGAGGCACGTTGTTATAATAACTTACTTGAGCATAGCACATTGCCAATGGTTTGAATCAGAAGTGACTGGTTACTACAAAAGGAAAGGAGATGCTCCAGGAAGTGATATACCTAGCTTATACTACAGTACTGTGGTTAGCTTACAACAATGTGCAGATATATGCACACCTGTGGAGACATGTAAAGGATTCTTCTATGACTTCGCCATAAGCAAATGTTGGTCAAAATCATCTGAAAGCTATCCGGTGATTCCTTATTTGTACGGTGATCAAGGTTTCATTTACACTAAAGGAGAGCGTTTGGTGAACTGTAATACAACACTGTTGGAAAATGATCACTTAGTCAAAATAACAACATCAACAGTAAATGATGACAACCACTATACATATGGACCGTACAACTCATATATTGACAGTAATACAGAACTTTCACCTAATCTTAAGCTGGATGCTGGAAGGCTGATGTTGCAAATGAAAACCAGTGGTGGCAAGTGGAGTTTACGGAACCAACGATTGTCCAGGCTGTTGTTACACAAGGGTGTGATCAACAAGTAAATTGGGTAGTTAACTATACAGTCCTGTTCAGTGATGATGGTGTTCAATTCTCTGTAGTTGGTATAAGTGACACAAGGGCGTTTATTGCTAACAGCAACAGTGATGCAAAAGTTGTTAACCTCCTCCCAGAAACACTAACAAAGTTTGTACGAATCAGGCCAAGAGCTTCAGTTGGGGGTGAACCTGGGATGAGAGTTGAAATTCTTGGTTGTGCAAATTATAAGACAGACCACGTGGAAGATCTGATGGAGACAGCCAGTTTCTCAGTGTCGTCAGTATTCAACTCTGATCCTGATGCGTATGGGCCAATAAGAGCCTATCTAAATAGCGCCCTTTATCCACCAGTAGTCATGTATGGTGCTTGGAAGGCCAGAGTCTTGACGCAGGATCAATATATACAGGTAGTTCACATACAATTGAATGATTTATTATTTGAAAGAGAGGAAATTGATATAAGATTCGAAGTTGTTATAAAAATCCAACAATGTGTAACAGATACGTATATTCTGACTTTCACAATCTGAATGACTGTTACAAAAAGATAGGTTTAACAATATGCCACCACTTAGTGGGTGCTGTATCATAAAATTATATACTTTCAATGATAAAAATCTCTTTATATGTAGATAACATTTCCCGTGCTGTACATGGTGAGAGCTTTGACAACACAAGGGGCAAATGGTGTAGCAGAGTGGGTGACAAGTTATGACATTCTCCATAGTTTAAATGGTGTATCCTGGTATATAAAGCAGCAGGAATTGACTGGTAGGTGAAAATTGCAAGACAATTGACCAGCAAATCGTCCAGGAAATATTACCTTGTAATTTCAAATATTCTTTATGATGATTTTAAAGAAACTCATAATTGTGAAAATGAAATTCTATGATTTATTTAAGATAATCCTGTGACATTTTTGAGAACCATTAGATATTCCTTTAGTATTTATTTATAGTATCCCTTATATTAAATATAAAGTTTATTTTTATATAGGTAACACAGATAGTGATGGAAAAGTGACACATGTCATGACTCCATTCCTGGCTAAGTGTGTCAGAATTACTCCTAAGGCATGGCATGGCTATATAAGTATGCGAGTAGGAGTATTTACCCAAAACCTGAAGGAGCTGCCTAGTTTTAATTATAACAACTTTGCCACTTTAACAAAGTCTAGTAAAATCAAGATTATGCTTTTTGGAGATTGTAAACTTTCAGATGAATGTAACAAAGAAATTACCAATTTATCAGCAAATCTTATAGACAAAATCATCTGATACTTTATAAAAATTCATGATCGTAAGGACAAAGTTCAACCCATCTTTCATCAATCATTATCATTCATTCCTTACATTTCCCATAAGGACTATGTAACTCTTATAAAAGACATAACACATGTTTTGAGAACCATTATAAATTTATGTTAATTTGCAAATTTTATAAAGGGAGGCCAATAATGTAATGTTTTACCTAGGCCTTCCTAGTATGTTAACAAGTGTATAATCTTAATGCAAATAAATAAAACTTAACCTTAAAAAAAAAAAAAAAAAAAGTAGGAGTATTTGGCACTGGCAGTACTGAGCCTTCTTCAGTGACTGTCATGCCTTGTGTTGAATGTAATGGTGATGTTACAGTGGTAACTGACAATGATACCACTACCTGTGTACCAATACCCCTATTCAGAGAAACTAGAATGGTGTTCCCAATAAAGCTGCAGGTCACACTACCATACAACCTTACTAGCATAACAGTTCATGTCATTGGAATTGCCCTCAGTTGTGGAGGCCAAAATGATCAACTTAAATTGGTTAATGTGTTGAACAATGAACGTATAGGTACCCTATACAGGATATGTGCTTTTGTGTCAGGATGGACTGAGGCTGGCCTCTCAGCATGTACCTACACATGTGCATCTGTAGGTGGCACTCAAACAATCCTTGTTGGTGTGATGTTCAGTAACAATACATCTGGGACTGTATGTGAGATTGGACTATCATAGATAAAGACTACCATAGAGCAATTGTCAGATTCTTGAGCAAGTTAAATATATTACATACCAGAATGCAATCTGTTTTTCAATAAGGTCATTGCACATGATGCTGAAATATTTAGTTAAATCAGATTTAGCTTCTATGCTTATGTAAAACCAGCAAATTGCTATTAAAGTTTCTGTTTTAAGTGCATTGGTCAATGCACTTTCATATAGTATAAACTTTTCTTCAGGAGGTCAGGCAGTCATTGGACAGAACATGTACAAAGGCATATAATATTTTAGAGTTCAATGCCACATTGACATCATAAGTAGACTTCAAACAGAAATGTTTACATATTATATAATAAATGAAATTCAATTTACATTATAAAATATTCCTATTGTTTTTGTTTAATGTCATGAACTGCATATCCTCCATCTACCATATTGATTTATACTAACTTTGAAATGCTCTCCATTACTGATGAATAATTCCCTTCTTTTCAGACAACATTACTTGCATATCAAATGACACACTTTACAATGTGATCATCATGGAGCACAGGAGGGAAACACATAAGAAGCAGACTCCTTTTGAAATTAAATTCCCTTTATGATATGATGTGCTACAAGTATGTAATTGTGTACTTGAAAGTACATTGATAAAATTATTGTGAGCAGCTGCGTACGTTAAGTTAGATAATGATGATGACAATGTTTCATATAGATAAAACTTCAATTTCAACTTAACCAAGTGAAATCTAGCAGACAACTTTTGCCAATCAGGCATTTGTCTATTTTGAACTTAATCTTTCAACAGTTATCTGAGTTTTCATCTACTGGGTAAATACATATACAGGCTAATTGAGGGACAGCTTTTCTATATCCCTGCAAACTTAATTCTGTGGATAATTTACCTCTGCCCTGAGGGCACTACACAGCTAGACATTCTATATCACTTTCTGCCTAATCAGAAGTCATTCTACATTTTAGAACAGATGCATGGTTGATAGGGAAAGCATTGGTCATTGGTGAGGAAAATATAAATGTCACATTGATAAACTAAATGGTGTTAACTTAGCACAAAATTCTGTTTGAATTTTCTTTTCACAATGTCATGCAAAATCTTTTCCTTTATGTGAAACAAATCAAGGAGCAGAACTCTATAAATGTTATGTGATTTAATGCATTCATTTCTTGCATGCTAGATTTGTGCTTGACAGTAATGTATACATTCCCTGGCAGCCATGGTAAATGGATTAAATACAAGAATTTATATACTGAATCCACCAACACTTCACTGAGTAGAATCTTCTATTAGATCACAAAGCCTAATATTCAACATCACAGGTTACTGTCATACAGGGCACTTAATGAATCAATAAAAATTAAAAATCATGTTTCGTTCAGTTTTTTGCCCGTCTCTTAATAGACCTCTCCATTAGTATTGTTTATGTATCACTCACAATGGGACACATTATTAAATTTTAAATACTGTCCAATTAGTTTTGTCTACTATTACATAACCTATGAAGCAGGAACTATAAAATAGAGTCCATTGATGTGCTGTGATAAGATGAACATTTCGCTTTACCTACAGTGATGGTTATGCGATCTTGGATTTGTTGAAAATAACTTAGTCTGAAAGCCTGATTATGTCATGACAGATGATAACATACTAACATTGCCATAAATATATGGTGAATTTCATTTCCCTAATAAGTTGAATGGGGCATCATGGAAAAAACTGAACCATGAAGACCTTTACGATAATTACATATGTCTGCATAGCACATTGCCAGGCTCAATGGTTCGAATCAGAAGTGACCGGTTACTACAAAAGGAAAGGAGATGCTCCATGGAGTGATATCCCAAGCTTATGCTACGGTACTGTGGTTAGCTTACAACAATGTGCAGATATATGCACACCTGTGGAGATATGTAGAGGTTTCTTCTATAACTTCGCCAGAAGGAAATGTTGGTCAAAATCATCTGAAGGCTATCCGGTGATTCCCTATTTGCAAGGTTACATGTACACTAAAGGAGAGCGTTTGGAGAACTGTAATACAACACTGTTGGAAAATGATCACTTAGTCAAAATAACAACATCAACAGTAAATGATGACAACCACTATACATATGGACCGTACAACTCATATATTGACAGTAATACAGAACTTTCACCTCATTCTAAAGCTGGATGCTGGAAGGCTGATGTTGCAAATGAAAACCAGTGGTGGCAAGTGGAGTTTACGGAACCAACGATTGTCCAGGCTGTTGTTACACAAGGGTGTGATCAACAAGTAAATTGGGTAGTTAACTATACAGTACTGTTCAGTGATGATGGTGTTCAATTCTCTGTAGTTGGTATAAGTGACACAAGGGCATTTATTGCTAACAGCAACAGTGATGTAAAAGTTGTTAACCTCCTCCCAGAAACACTAACAAAGTTTGTACGAATCCAGCCAAGGGCTTCAGTTGGGGGTGAACCTGGGATGAGAGTTGAAATCCTTGGATGTGCCAATTATGAGACAGACCACATGGAAGATCTGATGAAGACAGCCAGTGTCTCTGTGTCATCAATATTCAACTCTGATCCTGATGCGTATGGGCCAACAAGAGCTTATCTAAATAGCGCCCTTTATCCACCAGTTGTCATGTATGGTGCTTGGAAGGCCAGAGTCTTGACGCAGGATCAATATATACAGGTAATCCGCACACAATTGAATGATTTGTTATTTGAAAGAGAGGAAATTGAAATAAGAATCGATATATGATATCGTTGTTATAATCTGTAATGGAGTACTTTAAGTTATTACAAATTGTTACAAAAATGCAATAATGTGTAAAAGATATTTAAAACCTGACTTTCACAATCTGAATGCCTGTTACAAAAAGGTAGATTTAACAATATGCCACCTCTTAGTGGATGTTGTGTCATAAAAATAAGATGTTTTCAATGATAAAAACCTATTTATACACAGATAACATTTCCCTTGGTGTACTTGGTGAGAGCTGTGACAACTCAAGGGGCAAATGGTGTAGCAGAATGGGTGACAAGTTATGACATTATCCATAGTTTTAATGGGGTATCCTGGTATATAAAGCAGCGGGAATTGACTGGTAGGTGACCAGCAACTGATCTATACAGGAAAAGTAAAAGTACATTGTACACTGAAATAGCTGTATGAAAAACATTTCAAAAGAGAAAAAATTACTAGAAAAAAAACTTATAACTGTAAAAATGAGATTAATTTATTGTAGACTGCTCATTGTTGCAATTATATTACACATGAACGTATATTTCAAATGCAGATTAATATTGTATTTCAGCAAAAATCTCTCAACCCTTAGCTAGAAAAAAACTCATACTGAACTCGTACATGAAGATCTCAATACACAGTCATAGAAATAAAAGACATTTTTGAAAACCTAATAGTATTTATTTGAACTATTAACCCTCATATTAAATATTTCTCTCTAGGTAACACAGATAGTGATGGAAAAGTGACACACATCATGACTCCATTCCTGGCTAAAAGCGTAAGAATTGTTCCCAAGGCATGGCACAGCTATATAAGTATGCGAGTAGGAGTGTTTGGCACTGGCAGTACTGAGCCTTCTTCAGTGACTGTCCTGCCTTGTGGTGAATGTAATGGTGATGTTACAGTGGTAACTGACAATGATACCACTACCTGTGTCCCAATACCCCTATTCAGAGAAACTAGAATGGTGTTCCCACTAGAGTTGCAGGTCACACTACCATACAACCTTACAAGTATAACAGTTCATGTCATTGGAATTGCCCTCAGCTGTGCAGGCCAAAATGGTCAACTTCAGTTGGTAACTGTGCTGAATAATGAAGGGGTGGGTACCCTGTACAGGCAATGTAATTTTGTGTCAGGATTGATAGAGTCTGGTGTAACAGTATGCACTTATATATGTTCATACTTTGGTGGACCTGACAAAATCTTGGCTGGTGTGATGTTCAGTAACAATGAACCTGGGACTATATGTGAGATAGAACTGTCATAGATAAAGAGTACTACACCGTAAGTGTCAGATTCTTGATCAAGTGTAAAAGATAACATTCCAGCATATAGTGTTATTTTTCGGTAAGGTCATCATAAAATGTTCCTTATGTTTAATACATATCTTCTATCATTCTTATTGATTTATTCTAACTTTGATATCCATTACCAGTGCATTATTCCCTCACTTGCTGTACTATATAAAAAAAAATGATCAAAAATAATTGAAGTGGGATGGAGGGGAGATGGGATTGAGGGGATGAATATGCCAATAAGGTGAAACAAAACATAAATTCTTGTATTTGAAAAATGAACTCAGTAAGAAACTGGATGTGACATCTCTGAAGAGTGAAAAATGGGGAAGTCTGGAGTTATAAAACATAAAGTCAAGTAACCTCTCTTACCATGTGTTATAGACATATCACTTCCCCCTTCATCCCATTCTAATTAGACTCCAGATTGAAAATCTGGAGTCTATTGTTTTTGCCTGTTTTCTTATTAGACTCCAGATTGAAAATCTGGAGTCTATTGTTTTTGCCTGTTTTCTTATTATTATTATTCTTTTTTCTTCCTCCTTACCAAATTTCTCGTCAACTATAACAGCTTACTTAATCCAACTTACATGGTTAACTAAAGACTGTATCCGGCTTTCTGGGAAATTAGGTCAAATTTTTATCTAGGTCAAAGGTCAAGAACTAGGTCAAATCCAGTACTTTGTCACTTTTTCCCATTATCTCGGTCGTCCTTCAATATTTTTGATCCTGGTTTTTTTCATTGTGTTTCTCATAAAAAAGTAGAAAACCTAGGGTCGATTTAGTTTTTTGGTATCTCAAACCGATTTCGAGATATCAGTGTCCGAAAACGAGGTCCAAAAAAAATTTCACCGAATTCGATGTCCAGGATATCAGTCTTATAGATAATTTTCTCAGGATTCCGAATCTGAAAACCAAATTTCGATCTGACTTCCGGTTCAGAAGTTATGGCGTTTTGAAAATTCAAAAATCGCTAAATTTGGTGCCCCATGTTAATTCAATGGGAAAAAATATTTTTTTGAAGTGTAAAATACGAGATATAAACTAAGCACAGCTAAACATAATGGAAGCCCATAAAAGAAAGGGACCACAAGACCTTCTTTTCATAAAAATTTGGACACCAAAATGCCTAGGTCAAAATCTAGGTCAAATTCAAAGTTTTTCCTTATTTTTGCGATTCTGACACTACAGATTAATTATATTCTTCGAAAATGTGTATACATGTAGCCAAGAGTGTGCTAATAGTGTTAGCCTTTTGCCGTCAGAACATATTTTGACCCACTTTTGAGATATGGTGTCCGAAAAGTAGGTCAAACTAAAAAGTTCTCTAAATTTAACGTATGAGTTATGAACTAAGGGTAGAATTTTCTCAGGAATCTAAATCTGCAAACCAAATTTAAATCCGACTTTTGGTTTGGAATTTATGTCGTTTTGAAAGCTCAAAAATCGCTAAATTTGGTGCCCCATGTTATGGCAATGGGAAAAAATATTTTTTTGAAGTGTAAAATACGAGATAAAGACTGAGTACAGCTTCACATAATGAAAGCCTATAAAAGAAAGTGACCTCAAAAGCTAGCTAGCTTCACAATTTGGTCACCAAAATGCCTAGGTCAAAATCTAGGTCAAATTTATAGTTTTAACTTATTTTTGCGATTCTGACACTACACTTTAATTATTTGCTTCAAAATTTTGTATACAAGTAGCAAAGAGTGTGCTAATAGTGTTAGCCTTTTGCCGTCAGAAAGTATTTTGACCCACTTTTGAGATATAGTGTCCGAAAAGTAGGTCAACATGAAAGTTTCTCCAAATTTAACGTATGAGTTATGAATTAAGGGTAGAATTTTCTCAGGAATCCGAATCTGCAAATCAAATTTCAATCCGACACCCGGTTTGGAAGTAATGGCGTTTTGAAAAATTAAAAAATTGGTATTTTGATATCCAATGTTATGTCAATTATCTTTGTCACTATTCGTTGTTATTCCTTTATCTTTTTTTCATCATGTAGCTTAAAGACAGTCCTTTCATTATTGTAAATGTCTTTTTTGATTACTCTTACCGATTTTGAGGAATGGCGTCCGGAAAGTAGGTCAACATAAAAAGTTTTCAAAATTTAATGTATGAGTTATGACACAAACGTAGAATTTTCTCAGAAATTCGAATCTGCAAACCAAATTTCGACCCAAATTCTGGTTAGATAATGGCTCAGCTAACAGTATTTTGGATGACTCAGCTTAAAAAAAGTTTTAAATCTGGAGTCTTAAATTGAACTTGTTCAATTTACATGTCTAGTTATTATTATTCTTCATTCTTTCTTTCTTCCTCCTAACAGATTTTCTCTCCAACTATAACATCTTAATAAATCCAACCTACATGGTTGACTAGGGAATGTATCTGGCTTTCTGGGAAATTAGGTCAAATTTTTATCTAGGTCATAGGTCAAGAACTAGGTCAAGTCTTGGATTTTCACTAATTCACCACTTTTCTCAGTCGTCTTTCAATATTTTCGCTCCGGGTTTTTTTCATCATGTTCCTTGGAAAAAACGCTAATTCCGTAAGGCAAATCGTTTTTTGATTACTCTTACCGATTTTGAGATATTGCGTCCGAAAAGTAGGTCAGAACAAAAAACTCTCCAAATTCAACATGTGAGTTATGAAATAAGTGAAGAATGATCTCAGGAATCTGAATCTGCAAACCAAATTTGGATCGGACTTCTGGTTCGGAAGTTATGGCGTTTTGAAAGCTCAAAAATCGCTAAATTTGGTGCCTATGTTAAGTCAATAGGAAAAAAGACTTTTTCGAAGTGTAAAATACAAGATATAGACTGAGTACAGCTTAACATAATGAATGCTTATAAAAGAAGGGGACCTCAAAAGCTACATAGCTTCAAAATTTGGACACCAAAATGCCTAGGTCAAAATCTAGGTCAAATTCATAGTTTTTCCTTATTTTTACGATTCTGACACTACACTTTAATAATTTACTTCAAAATTTTGTATACAGGTAGCAAATAGTGTGCTAATAGTGTTAGCCTTTTGCCGTCAGAAAGTATTTTGACCCACTTTTGAGATATGGTGTCCGAAAAGTAGGTCAAAATAAAAAGTTCTCCAAATTTAACATATGAGCTATGAATTAAGGGTAGAATTTTCCCAGAAATCCGAATCTGCAAACTAAATTTCAATCCGACTTTCGGTTCGGAAGTTATGGCGTTTTGAAAGCTCAAAAATCGCTAAATTTGGTGCCCCATGTTATGTCAATGAGAAAAAAGATTTTTTGAAGTGTAAAATACCAGATATAAACTGAGTACAACTTAACATTCTGAAAGCCTATAAAAGAAGGGGACCTCGAAGGCTATCTAGCTTTAAAATTTGGACACCAAAATGCCTAGGTCAAAATCTAGGTCAAATTCATATTTTTCCTTATTTTTGCGATTCTGACATTACACTTTAATGATTTGCTTCGAAATTTTGTATACAGGTAGCAAAGAGTGTGCTTATAGTGTTAGCCTTTTGCCGTCAGAAAGTATTTTGACCCACTTTTGAGATATGGTGTCCGAAATGTAGGTCAGAATAGAAAGTTCTCCAAATTTAACGTATGAGTTATGAATTAAGGGTAGATTTTTCTCAGGAATCCAAATCTTTAAAGCAAATTTCGATCCGTACTTCTGGTTCGATAGTTATAGCGGTTTGAAGTCTAGAAAAGTCGATATGATGATATCCCCATGTTAAGCCAATGGAGTCGAAGATAACATTCTTAAGAGTTGTCTAAATGTCTATATTCTAGCTGACTCAGCTTATTCTGAATGACTCAGCTTACAATTCTGGATGACTCAGCTTAAAAAAAGTTTGAAATCTGGAGTCTTAAATTGAACTTGTTCAATTTACATGTCTAGTTATTTTTAATACCACTTTTGGATATTGATATATCCATTCGTTGAAAAACATCATATCACTCATAAATCATATGATATCCTCAATATATCCATTGAATTTCTTTCATTTGGGAATTATATTTCTATTCAAATTGACTATTTTTTGCTCTCGTATATTTCAGCTTTATTTCAGGGAAATCTTCCTTGATTTTTTAAGCCATCGATGTAAAAATGAAGGGTTACAGAAAATGAATGCAATATTGCATGATCTTATCAATCTTAAATCGCATTATTATTATTATATATTCTGATATATAATTAAATATTGTTATTCTACAATCTGATTATACACTAATTCACTTTATTGCCCTTCGAAATGATGTTATTGTAGTATTATAATACTATTATGTTTTTTTAATTTGAAAAATCATTTCTTTTGAGACAAAGAGATCTGGTTTGCACGAAATAAGAATTTTTAGCATGTAAACTTTGTGAAATAAATATAAAGAGTCCAAAGGGAATTAAGATATAAACCTCAAACTATTCTAAGATAAGAGGCTCGAATAAGCAATTAATGGAGTCGAATCCTTTATTCACAAGGCACTTAATGAATCAATAAAAATGTAAAAACATGTTCTGTTTAGTTTTTTACAATTAATACTCATTGTCTGTCACTTACGCAAACCTCCATTAGTACTGTTTACTAATTACTCAATATACCTTATATAATACAATACAAAAGGTCTTCAATTAGAATCGACTTCTATTACATCACCTATGATGCAGTAACTGTTTTAAGATAGATTCCATTGACGTGCTGTGATAAGGTGAACATTTGGCTTTACAGAGATGTGTTGTGAGAACTTGGCTTTGAAGTGAATAATTTATTTTAGGAATCTGATTATGCCACGAAAGATGATGATACTTTAACACTGCCATAAAAATATCATGAGTAAATGAATTTCCCATAAATTGAATGGGGCAATATGAAAAGACAAACATTATGAAACTCATTGTTCTAATAACATACTTGAGCATAGCACATTGTCAATGGCTTGAATCAGAAGTGACTGGTTACTACAAAAGGAAAGGAGATGCTCCAGGAAGTGATATGCTAAGCTTATACCACAATACTGTGGTTAGCTTACAACAATGTGCAGATATATGCACACCTGTGGAGACATGTAGAGGTTTCTTCTATGACTTCGCCAGAAGCAAATGTTGGTCAAAATCATCTGAACGCTATCCGGTGATTCCCTATTGGAACAATGATCAAGGTTTCACTTACACTAAAGGAGAGCGTTTGGTGAACTGTAATACAACACTGTTGGAAAATGATCACTTAATTAAAATAACGACATCAACAGTAAATGATGACAACCACTACACATATGGACCCTACAACTCATATATTGACAGTAATACAGAACTTTCACCTTATCCTAAAGCTGGATGCTGGAAGGCTGGTGTTGTAGATGAAAACCAGTGGTGGCAAGTGGAGTTTTCGGAACCAAAAATTGTTCAGGCTGTTGTTACACAAGGATGTGATCAAAGATCAGATTGGTTTGTTAACTACACAGTACTGTTCAGTGATGATGGTGTTCAATTCTCTGTAGTTGGTATAAGTGACACAAAGGCATTTGTTGCTAACAGCAACAGTGATGTAAAAGTTGTTAACCTTCTCCCAGAAACACTAACAAAGTTTGTACGAATCAGGCCAAGGGCTTCAGTTGGGGGTGAACCTGGGATGAGAGTTGAAATCCTTGGATGTGCCAATTATGAGACAGACCACATGGAAGATCTGATGGAAACAGCCAGTGTCTCTGTGTCATCAATATTCAACTCTGATCCTGATGCGTATGGGCCAACAAGAGCCTATCTAAATAGCGCCCTTTATCCACCAGTAGTCATGTATGGTGCTTGGAAGGCTGGAGATTTGACCCAAGATCAATATATACAGGTATTTGACATACGATTAAATGATTTGTTATTTGAAAAAGAAGAAATTAATACAATTTTGTTCTTATACTGATGATATAATCTGTCATATATGACATTAGTTGTTGCAAATAGTAACAAAAATGCAACAATTTGTTCCAGATACCCAAAATTCGATTTTCACCATCTAAATGCCAGTTAAAAAAAACAGTAGCTATAACATTATACCACCACTTGGTGGTGGCATAAAAATGTTATATTTTCAATGGCTGGAATTACACCAGAAAAAGCGCTAAAAGCGCTTACGTGGAAAGCGCTTAACAAAATTGCCATCCTGATTACACAAACATTTCTAAAGTGCCTTAGGAATTTTTTGGGAATTACACCTATCATTTCTAAAACGCCTTTCGTGCACTTTTAACTATGTAGATATTGAGAATATCCAGCAGATGTGTACATCTACAATAAATGTATTCCTTTAGCATTTAAGAGAAAATGTTACTGAGACTTTTGCAAGTGAACTAACTTCCAAGTTTTGCAATATAATTTGATGGCCTATTGGATTTTCTTGGTTCCATCCATCATTTCCTACATACTTTTGCGGTGGCCCAAATGTGTGGTATTCGAAATACATCTTATATCGTTTAGGGCAAATGGTAAAAACCCGGGTAAGCTGTTTTACAAAAACTGATCAGTATTACACTATACTCCTAAAGCGCCTAACGATTTAAGGCATTTTTTAGTGACTAGGGTTCTAGGAGTTTTGGAAAAGCGCTTTTGTAAAACCACAATCATGATTACACCTATATTTCAAACCAGGCTAAAACCTTAGGCGCCTTTCTAAAATGCATGGTGTAATTCCAGCAAATGATAAAAACCTATTTATACACAGATAACATTTCCCTTGGTGTATATGGTGAAAGCTGTGACAACACAAGGGGCAAATGGTGTAGCAGAGTGGGTGACAAGTTATGACATTCTCCATAGTTTCAATGGGGATATCTGGTATATAAAGCAGCAGGAATTGACTGGTAGGTGGAGATTACCTGACTGTTGACTAGAAAACTGATCTATACAGGAGAATTACATTTCAATTCGAAAAAGTTGTATGCAACATTTCAGAAGAACAATTTCTAAAAAACTTATAATTGTGAAAATGAAATTCTATGATTTTTTAAACATTATCTCATCATTGTAAGAATAAACATGTAGATTGAATATCACATGAAAAAATATCTTTCATATGCAGATCAAGAAATCACATTTTAGCAAAAATTTCTCATTTCTTAAGGCCCCCTCACATATAAATGATTCCACTAAATGCAGTCTTGCAAATCAGATAAACTGTCAATTCTGGCAACTGGGAACACAAACAAGCAACCAAAGCGCATCTTTGTGCATGCTTCCCAAGTTTTTCAAAGGGATGCTTACATATACAAACACCCAAAAGATGTACAACAACACAAGTCCTATTCGTAAGACTACGTGGATTCGTTCCTTTGTGAGGGGGGGGGGGCTTTGGCAAGAAACTCATATAAAACTCATTCATAAAGATTTCAATACCCAGTTATGGAAATAAATGATATTTTTGAAAACCATAAGATATTCCTCTAGTATTATAGTATCCATTTGTATTATTAATCCTAATATCAAATATAAAGTACATTTTGCCATATAGGTAACACAGATAGTGATGGAAAAGTGACACACGTAATGACTCCTTTCCTGGCTAAATGTGTAAGAATTACTCCTAAGGCATGGCATGGATATATAAGTATGAGAATGGGAGTGTTTGGGACTGGCAGTGCTGAGACTACTTCAGTGACTGTCCTGCCTTGTGGTGAATGTAATGATGATGTTACAGTGGTAGCTGACAATGATACCACTACCTGTGTACCAATACCCACATTTTGGGAAACTAGAAGGGTGTTCCCACTAGAGTTGCAGGTCACACTACCATACAACCTTACTAGCATAACAGTTCATGTCATTGGAATTGCCCTCAGTTGTGCAGGCCAAAATGATCAACTCCAATTGGTTACTGTGCTGAACAATGAAGGGGTGGGTACACTGTACAGGCGATGTAATTTTGTGTCAGAATGGATGGAGGCTGGTCTCTCAGTATGCACCTACACATGTGCATATACAGATGGCACTCATACTATCTTGGCTGGCGTAATGTTCAGTAACAGTGAACCTGGGACTATATGTGAGATGGAACTGTCATAGATAAAGAGTACTACACCGCAATTGTCAGATTCTTGTTCAAGTTAAATATGTAAAATTGCAGCATACAGTCTTATTTTTCAGTAAGGTCATTGTATGTGATGCTGGAACATTTAGTTTGATTGGATTTTGCTGCTGTGATTATGTAAAAGTCCAGCAATCTGCTCCAAGTTTCTGTTTTGAGTGCAATGGACAATGCATTTTCATCTAGTATAAGCCTGCCTTTAACAAAGGCAAAATTACAGATGATCAACTTTTCTTGAGAAGGTCAGAAAATCTTGGATGGTGCAATCTGAAAATCACCGATGAATATCAGTTCATGTACATAAACATATTATTTTTGAGAGCCCATTGCCACGGTTATATCATTATTAAACTTAAATTAGACCTGCTTACATACTATATAATAACTAGATTTGTGAAATTGAACAAGTTCAATTTAAGACTCCAGATTTATTTTACCTAGATAGATCAGTAAAGAGCTGAGTAATTAACTGAGTAATTAGCTGAGTAAGTACCTTAGTAGTAGTTGAGTAAGTAGCTGAGTAAGTAACTGGGTAAAAAGCTGAGTAGGTAGCTGAGTAAGTAGCTGAGTAAGTACCTGAGTTAGTAGCTGAGTAAGTAGCTAAGTAAGTAATAACTAATTAAGCAATTGAGTAAGTAGTCAAATAAGTAGCTGAGTAGGTAGGGAGGTAAAGTAGGGTATGTAGGAATTTTTGAAAGTTTATTTGATCAATCTGCATCGTGAATACTGGCAAGTGCGAATTTCAAACTTCAAAATGGCTTAGAATCTTAGCCGGGGGTCGGATTGCAATTTTAATTTCAGATCCGGATTCCTTAGGAAATTCTACCCCTAATTCATAACTCATACGTTAAATTTGGAGAACTTTTTATTTTGACATACATTTCGATCACCATATCTCAAAAGTGGGTCAAAACACTTCTTGACGGCAACAATTTAACGTTATGAGCCCACTCTTTGCTACATGTATACAAAATTTCGAAGAATATCATTGAAGTGTAGTGTCCGAATTGCAACAATAAGAAAAAACTAAGAATTTGACCTAGATTTTGAACTAGGTATTTTGGTGTCCAAATTTTGAAGGAAAGTAGCTTTTGAGGTCCCCTTCTTTTATGGGCTTTCATTATGTTTAGCTGTACTCATTCTATATCTCGTATTTTTACACTTCAAAAAATTATTCGGTCCCACTGATTTAACATGGGGCACCAAATTTAGCGATTTTTGAGATTTCAAAACGCCATAACTTCAGAACAAGAAGTCGGATCGAAATTTGGTTTGCAGATTTGGATTCCTGAGAAAATTATACCTTTAATTCATAACTCACACATTAAATTTGGATAGTTTTTATTTTGACCTACTTTTAGGACACCATATCTCAAAAGTGGGTCAAAATACTTTCTGACGGCAAAAAGCTAACACTATGAGCATACTCTTTGCTACCTGTATACAAAATTTTAAAGCAAATCATTTGAATATAGTGTCAGAATCGCAAAAATAAGGAAAAACTATGAATTTGACCTAGATTTTAACCTAGGGATTTTGGTGTCCAAATTTTGAAGCTAAGTAGCCTTCGAGGTCCCCTTCTTTAATAGGCTTTCATTATATTAAGCTGTACTCAGTTTATATCTCGTATTTTACACGTAAAAAAAATCTTTTTTCCCATTGACATAACATGGGGCAGCAAATTTAGCGATTTTTGAGCTTTCAAAACGTCATAACTTCCGAACAGGAGGTCGAATCAAAATTTGGTTTGCAGATTCAGATTCCTGATAAAATTCTACCCCTAATTCATAACTCATACGTTAAATTTGGAGAACTTTTTAGTTTGACCTACTTTTCGGACACCATATCTCAAAAGTGGGTCAAAATACTTTCTGACGGCAAAAGGCTAACACTATTAGCACACTCTTGGCTACATGTATACAAATTTTCGAAGAATATAATTAATCTGTAGTGTCAGAATCGCAAAAATAAGGAAAAACTTTGAATTTGACCTAGATTTTGACCTAGGCATTTTGGTGTCCAAATTTTTATGAAAAGAAGGTCTTGTGGTCCCTTTCTTTTATGGGCTTCCATTATGTTTAGCTGTGCTTAGTCTATATCTCGTATTTTACACTTCAAAAAAATATTTTTTCCCATTGAATTAACATGGGGCACCAAATTTAGCGATTTTGAATTTTCAAAACGCCATAACTTCTGAACCGGAAGTCAGATCGAAATTTGGTTTTCAGATTCGGAATCCTGAGAAAATTTCCTATAAGACTGATATCCCGGACATTGGATTCGGTGAAATTTTTTTTGGACCTCGTTTTCGGACACTGATATCTCGAAATCGGTTTGAGATACCAAAAAACTAAATCGACCCTAGGTTTTCTACTTTTTTATGAGGAACACAATGAAAAAAACCAGGATCAAAAATATCGAAGGACGACCGAGATAATGGGAAAAAGTGACAAAGTACTGGATTTGACCTAGTTCTTGACCTTTGACCTAGATAAAAATTTGACCTAATTTCCCAGAAAGCCAGATACATTCCCTAGTTAATCATGTAAGCAGCTTAAAGTAAGCTCTTCTAGTT